CTAATCATCCACAAAGCATGCCTAGTGCAGAAATATATAGTGCAGTGACGACGCATGCCCTATCTGGAAGAGTATGCGGCTCTTCCACAATATTTCTTATACATGTACTGCTTAAATCAAAAATAATAAATTGAGTTAGATAAGATGTTTTATTAATAATAACCATATTATATTAGGCAATAATATATTCATAAGATAACATTTAACAATTTATTAACAAAATAACATATTAAATAAATAAATTAAATTATTAATTTATATACATATAAATATATGTATATATATATAATTGATATATTATATCAATATGGAATAAACACTTTTCTCATACTTCTTACAACACTAAAGCAACTTTTATCAAACAAAAGAGTCTATAATCAAAACCATATTTGTTTATAAAGTGGTAAAACAAAATCGAACGTCCTTGAAACGTATAAATTGCAGCCAGCCATTGCGCACACCTAGCGACAGAAATTCACTAGGTGCTACTGCTAAAAGGAGAGAGATGCAATATCATAGAAATATTCGGTGATATCAGCTACAAACTTTAACTAATCCAACATGTTGGATTCATATACATTCAGTTCATATTCAAATAGAACTGAATAATTACTCTCATATATTTCCCACTACATAAAGCACATCTAACAATTATAGCAGCTAATAGAAGAAAATTTATTGAGTTTTTATAAACAATTATATTTAATTGTTTTTGTTAAAACTTTAATATTTAAAAATATATATATATGTATGTAAACAGTCAAATATGCACTAAAACTGGTTTGCATGCAAAGGATCAGTTGCGAATGTTGAGTGCAGGAGAATTCACAAATTAAGCTGGTATTCTATTTGAGTAGTTTATATTTTTGATAAATTATATTATATTAATTATATTATTAATAAATAATTTTCTACATGTATATGTAATAAGTAATATTAATTCTCGATCTAAAGAGATTTAATTAATCTATATATTTTATTTGACATTTTACAAATTATGTTAAGTGTTGAAAAGTTTTGCAAAGCAAAAATGATAGGACAATGGGAATATCCAAAAATTTCTGCACATTTTTCCCAGTAAGAAAGTGTCGCATCGAGTTAGATTTAGTCTTGCAAGGAAAAATGAAAGGACAATGGAAATATCTAAAAATTTCTTCATATCTGTTCCCAGGAAGAAAGTGTATTAAAATAGATTTATTTAAAATAATACTGCAAACTGTAATACAATGCAACGACTAAATCAGTTTAATCAAATACAATTTGCTAAAGATCAGCAATGTCAAGTAACAAAAAGTATACATTGTGACCGAAAGGTTTTCGGAGGTTCTCATTTAAAATTCGCGCGCTGTATATTTTTCGATATTTTAAGTTTATGTAGTTTGGCAGCACTGTCCTTAATTACTATGCCAAAAAATGAGCGCGATCTGTCGGACAGTTCGTTTACGGCAGCTGTTGAAACCAGTTCACCTCAGTAGTGCGTTGCGAAAAAAACAATGGAAAAAAATATTGAACAAAGAGTTTGCATCAAATTTTGTTTTTCGAACGAAATTTCGTGTGCAGAATCGTTGCGAATGCTACAAAAGGCTTATGGGGAATCAGTTTTATCGAAAACTCAAGTTTATGAGTGGTACAAAGCCTTTCAGGACTGTCGTACGACCGTCGAAGACATGCCGCGTTCTGGACGACCTTCGACCTCTACCACCGACGAAAACATTGAAAAGGCAAAGGAAATCGTGTTCAAAAATCCTCATGTGAGTGTTAGAGAGATAGCACGAGAGCTAGGCATCGGTCGTGAGATGGCTCGTTTGATTTTGGTGGACAATTTGTGTATGCGACGTGTCAACGCCCGGCTTGTTCCGATTCACCTCAATTTGTTCAACATTATCAACGATTTTAAGGCCAAACATTCAATAAATACCATCGAACAGCCACCGTATTCACCTGATCTTGCACCGTGTGACTTTTTCCTGTTTCCCAACCTCAAATTACCACTCAGAGGAACGCGTTTTGAATCCATAGAAGACGTAAAACAGAATTCGCAGAGGGAACTCAAAGCCATACCGGAAAGCGCCTATAAAAAATGTTTTGATGATTGGAAGAAACGTTGGCATTTGTGTATCGCTTCTAATGGAGCATATTTTGAAGGAGATAAAATAAATATTGATGAAGATTAAGAATTTTGCGTTTTATTTATTTATGACCGGAAACTTTTCGGTCACAATGTATGTCAAGAGTTTTGAAAAAAACAATAAAATGAGTTGGGTTTCAGCAATTTTATTAACTAGAAGCAACAATATTAATTATGCAATGGATATAGTTGAAAATGGTAAAAATAAGAAATGGCGTTTGAAATTTTGCATTTACCAAATGCTGCGATGTAAGACAGAAAATATAGATATATAAATTTCAAGTAGTAGCAATTTTGAGGCCACTTTAGATGCACAACATTTGTCGTCTAAAGAATAGCATCAAGTCACAAATGAAAACAAGGAATCTAATATAGTGGCCTTAGGCAGCATTTTTCTTTGAGAATAGTTTTATTTATTTATTATGTTCTATCTGTACTTTGTATTTATTTAACCCTAGTTGGATGGGATAGATACAGCTGTCTGAAATTTTAGAAGTTCTCTACACTTTTGCTTTAGATAATATTATTAAAACTTTATAAAAATGTCTGGAAAATTGTATATGGTAAGCTATGAAGCTAAACTGATTTCATTCTCAGTAAAGACGTCTTAGGTACAATTGTACCTTCATGATTTTGTATAAAATAATAAAACATTTTTTAAGGTAAGTTTTTACTAGAAAAATTTAAAACTTTATATATGAAATGGAAATTCACTAATTTATGTATTTTATCGATTTTCTCCGCATGAAACACATGTTGTATTGGAAATAGAGTGTTCATCGCAAACAGATTTCACGCAAACCACACATCACTTTCTAGTCTTTCGTTTCTTCCAAGTCAGACATTGGCAAGCATGACAGCCACCAAAAATTCTGATGGCTCCATGTCTGTCATGTGTCACTTTAGCACTAGTTCCTGGTTCTGGTGGGAGCAAAATCCAAGCATTGTTTTTACTGCGCCTCGAAGAAAATGGTTACCCATCATTTTTTTGTTTGAACTACAGTTTTCAATTGAAGTCATGCAAGATCTTTGAGTAACTTTCATCGTTATTTCTTTGTTTTGAACCTTTCTGTATATAAGATGCCAATCGAGTGATATCAAACATGTTATAGATCATTGCCAGAGACTAATGCAACGTTCGTCATTTTATTGTATATTCACTCAACATTTTGTCTATCACGTCTATGCCACCTTTGGTTTTATTATAGAATTTGATTACCTCTGGCTTGGCGCTCTGCGAATTTTAAATTTTTCTTGTCATGTGCATGGTTGATAAAAGCACAACTGATTTCTTTTTTTTTGTCACATTGATGCACATGTTTGTACGCAAAACTTGTTAAATTCACAAACCTTTCCATTGACACTCGCAAGGAGTGCCATGCTCCAGGAGTTCAATGTCTCACCTAGATCTAAAGATGTGAAAAAGTTGTCGGTAACGACATTTCTTCCAGATCCTTTGTTTAAACAAACTAAATCTAGCACAGTAGGTTCACCAATGTTTACTTGCCGTGGATCATCTGTTGGTGTTCCAGTATAATTGTGTTCTTGTGAAGGGTAGGTGTTTAATGCATCGCAACCCCAAAAAATTTTAATGCCATATTTAGCCGGTTTGGAAGGTTCATATTGTGTATGGCCTCTGAATGGAAATAATTGTTCATCGACAGCGATGCAGTTATATAGTTTGTATTGTTTTTCAAATTTCTGTTCAACATTTCCAAATCAGTTTCAACAACCTCCAAAAACAAAATTAAAAATAATATATGCTATATGTATATTCACCGCAGTTGGCTTTTATGTATGGCGAATTTCATGAATACTGTTAATGGTCAAAAGTAAAAACGAATAATTTTCACTTCAAAATATGTATAACAACATTTTTTGAACTTCCTATCGGGTTTAATTACAAATTAGGACTTAAAAAACAATCCACTTCTATTTATTTATCATAAAAAAGTTGGATAAGGGAAGATTTTTCATACTTTGTATGTGAAGGTACAAATGTACCTCTGCCGCTTCTTAACGTTGTAAAGTTTCCCAGTCCGACAAGCGTTAAAGAAAAATTAACATATTAACTAGAATTCATTGCTACAATAAAAACCATGTATTCCTTAACAATAATCTGAATATATATAAAAAGAACAAAAAAATGGATGACAGAAATTGAATGGCACGACTGACGGAATAGATCAACAAAACGTTGATAGGGCTTTAAAAAATCCTTAGGATAAACATTAGTAAAAAACATGTAGGATTAAATTACGAACAAACAAAATTGCTTAAATAGCATGAATGTTTCAAGCAATACTTGATTAAATATAGATATAAATACAAATCTTTTTGCCTGTACTAAACCAAAAAAAATAAAACGGAATTCTTCTTATTTTACTCGATTCGCGGTGGAAAATGCGATGTTGATTTCAGGGCTCCAACAAATATTAAACTTGATACAAAAAATATGCGACTCATTTACAATGTAGAGCGCAGTCAAGAGATTTGTGACTAAAGTGATAATTGAACCAATATAATCAGGAGGATACACCCATTTGACCGAAGATGTCAGCGAGCTTAAGTCTCTTACTACTCTATGTTATCGATGTTCGATATCGGGTTTTTTTCCATTTGGTATCTTCTCGATCTCGAAAGTCGAAAGTGAAAGATAATTGGTATTCACCAATATCTCAAAAAGGAAAAGGAAGATTTTGTTAAACCATCTTTGTATTTAGTAGTCCACTATACAATAAAAATAAGTTAATTTAGAGTTGTCGAAAAAATCGTAAAAACGTATAAAATTTGTCGAATAGGGTTATTGTATAAATTGCAACGATCATATTTTCAAAAGTTTTTTTATTTTAGTTTTATTTTTGTTTTTTAGATATAGAAAACGAATGCTATCCTGCAATATCACTTAAGTCTGCGACATGTCATTTTCGTCAGATCGACTTACAAAGTGGCTCCAAAAATAGTTGTCCAGGTATTTATAGTAATATGCAGAAATAGTAATTTAAAATCATTTATTTTTTGTGGTAAATAGAAACGGCTGAAAAATTTTGTTTAGAATCAAATCTAAAGTCGTCGAAATTGCTTAATGTTCCACAAAAAAATTTGACGTCAATGCTTAATTTTCAAAACAATTATAGTACTAATAAGGAATCATATTCGAACACAGCAGCTGTAAAAATAGATTCACTTTCAGTTCAGAATTCTCAACTTCTACAATACCAGTCTTCTAATATTGCTTTTAATAAAAATTCAGCAAAATTACACTTAATATTACGTGAAACAAGTGTGTCTCCAAATTTAAGTTCTAATATAGAAGTTGACGAAATTTTTATCAAAGAGGAGCCTTTATCTCCGTCCTACAGTTATCCACCAAGTCCCGTTTCAAATAGTTGCAGTTATTCATGTACAAAGGATACCGTTAGCAGTGTGGTATGTTTGTAATCAAAGTTTTAATATTAATAAATAAAAAGTCTATTTTGTAGAATTGTTGCCAACAAGTGAATAAAAAAAGTCCTGTGTCATCTAACTTTCATAAAGAATGCGAACTTCACACACCTGTCGCAAATAACAATTTAATATTAACAAGTGACGTAAAGTTTAATGGATCAGAAACTATCACTCCTAAAAACCTTTGTAAAAAACTGAGCTCGTTCGGAATGCCCTTAACTCCTCCATCCTTATCACCAAGTGATGAATCACAGGGCAATGTTTCGCCGGAACATATATCTGGATTAAGTGGTTTAACGTCTAAATTAATTACTGTAAATAACAATAAAACGAAGCAGGTCACAGCTACTCCACAAACAGTGAAACTTCGAGAGAGTTCTTACTCAACTGCATGTCACACAAACCGCTGTACTTCTTCAAGTCGTAATTTCAATGGAAATAACTCAAGACAACCAATACACACAACATTAATAAGTTCTCAACCTGTATGTATATATTTTTATAACAAAGTGTATAATTGGATATGTATATATAATTCATATTATTCCAAGTAGAAGGGATATACTGGTGCACTTACATTAACAGACGAAGAAAAACGAACATTACTTGCTGAAGGTTATTCAATTCCACAAAAACTACCTTTAACTAAGTCTGAAGAAAAGTCATTGAAGAAAATAAGAAGGAAAATAAAGAATAAGGTAACTATTATTTATTAGGCGTTATTATTATTAGTGAATATTTTGAAGTTCATATATTTAAAATTTGTGCAGGGTTATGTGAACTAAAGCCAAAAACGCATTAAAGCAAAAATTTATAACTATTTTTAATATTTCGTATTTACTAACCTTTTTTCAGTTTTCTTTTCTTATTGTAGCAATGCAAGTAGTGTTTTTATGTTTTGGGATTCAACTTTTTTGTTTTCTTGTGACATTCTTATGAACGTGTGAGTTCCCAATGTTGTGGCAATAAAAATTTTGATAAAACTACTTGATAAACTAAAGTCACATCCAAAAAACATAACATAATATAATAAACAGAAAAGAAGGCTGCAATAACACATGTACAAAATTTCGCTGTTTCTTTTTGTTTCAAAACTGATAGTTGCTTAAAAAAAGCTTCTAAACGAAGCTTTTCTTTTGAATTTCTACGCTTTGAGCCGACTCATATTTTTTTCCTCCATGAACTTTTATTATAGACAAACCATTTTTAGTCCACAGAATTTTTTTTAGTTTAGCCATCCTTAATATTAAACATTTCTTCTACATCATTGCAATAATTTTGCTAGTACTGTGCAGTGCAGTGTTGATAATTTTTTATATGTCTCTAGTTAAGCTTCGTACGTTTTCTGAATGTTTCTTCCTGTTGGTTTGGTATTGGTAAATAATTCGTTACTAGTGTGAATAGTACCTTTGGTCAACAAGGTGGCTTGATATCCTTTTTCTATTTCTAACTGGACAGTAAGAGTTGTTTACACTTATTGTTTCAAATCTATCCATTACTGTGGGGGTCACCAGAAGATGATCTTTGGCAATTAGAATCAAAGTTTTTTCTCCAGATACTCCAGTCTGTTTTTTCTATATTCTTATACACCCGTATTGGAAAACATATTTGAAATTGTATAAAATGATGCTCAGAGTGAGAAATTGTATTTGCGACTCGACATCTCTGTATTAAATCAACAAATTAGTAGGTAATCAGTGTGACGTCAGTGTAACTTTCTTTCTGTTCATTGTTGATTCTGAGACTGCATTTATATACATAGTTATGTTAAGATTATTTTCTACAATTAAGTTTAAAATTATCTTATTCCTTTTATTGGTATTAGTATATCTTCACAAGGTATTGTGGTAATCACAACAAGCAATCAGAAATTTCTTGGCTACTGATACTAAAATTTGAATGTCTCCACTTCAATACTTGTCGCTTATATGTTACAACTGTCAACGTATAAGAACAGGAGGATATTTAAATTTTCTTTTGTTAACATTTAGCAAAAGGTTTACCTACTTGCTAAAAAACCAATAAGCTTGAAATCATTTATTCCCAACCACACCCCCGAATCATTTATGCTATATCCACGATTCTTAGATAAAATCCATATCAAATCCACCGGTAAACGGGCAAATCAATAACTTTGCGAGACAGGTTTAGCAATTGACACCTACGTGGAGTAATTTTATAAGAATCCATCCGTATGAAATCCACCATTGTCATATCAGTATAATTTTATTAAAACATATTCAAAAAACTGATCATCTCGTGTGGATAAAATAAAAAAAAAAAAATTTGAATATAAAAATTTAAATTTAAAAAATAAAATTTAAATTTATTATAATAATTTCGTTATAATAATAATTTTATTAAAATATGTTCAAAAATCTCATCATTATAAGTTACTTACATATTTAACTCTTTTTTAACAAATCTCCCACGCAACTTGTTTGTTGAAAGATTTTGTGCAAAATAGAGAAAAAATTCCCATATCCATATGAATCAGAATAGGGAAACTGGAAAAAGAGAAAAAACTCCCATTCCCATGTTATTCAGAATAGGGGTGACTACTATTACTGGTACTGTGTTAATTTTTGCATTATTATTTGTGTATTTGGATATATTTTTTGTATATAACGATATTGTATAAAATTTCAAATATGGTTAAGATTAATACATTGTTTGGCAAAAATGATTTTAGACTGACTTTTTAGTTGTTTTAATCAACTGTTTTATTTAATGCAAATAAATACAGTAATATAAATTATTTAAGAGTGTGACTTCTTATTAAAAAAATTATGTCACTCTTATTTTAGGGTTGCCATGGTATCAGTATTGCGAAAATGACAACCAGATGGTTAAAGGGTTGTCAAGTTCTTGGTACTGTTGCCACAAGTTCATTACATAACATATTCCATCTATACTCGATTTCGATCTAATGGTTCATTTTAATTGCAGACTATTTTAGAATTTCGAGATATAAAGCTTAATAGAGAAATATGTTCAATACTGAAAAAGCATTTTGTAAATTATTAATTATATCAGAATCAAAGATTGCTGATATAGTATGGATGTGTTATCGGTATATGCATTTTGTCAGCTTATGAAAATAAAACACCTTATGAAACACCCTATTTGAAAGGGCGTGCAGTCGTTCCAAAATTTTTCTTGTACATATGTATATGCCTAAATTAAAAATGATGAATTGAAATATATGAGATGTTTTACTAATAATAACTATGTTACATTAGGCAACAATATATTCACAATATAATATTTAATAATTCATTAACAAAATAACAAATTAAATAAATAATTTATATTATAATATTAAACTTATATAGTTTAATATTATATCAATATGGAATAAATACAACTTTTCACAGATATCTTATAACATCAAACCAATTTTTTTCAAACAAAAAAGTTTGTACTTAGAACCATACATGTTTATGCAGTGATCAAACACAATCGAACACACTTGCAACATATAAATGTGCGGCCAGCTACTCCGCACACAAAGTGGTTATTATTCGCTGAGTAACAGCTTAAAGGGGAGAGACGAAATTTGAAAGAAATGTGTTGTGATGTGAGCTGCAAACTTTAGCCGCACATCTAACCGCTTCGGCAAGTCAACATGTTGAATTATTATACATTTAGTTGATATTCGAATAGAATAGAAAATACTCTCATACAATTCTCAATCTCTATTTCTCATATTTTAAGCTAGAGCACACGCACATTATTTTGTTCATTGTACTTTTGTGCACACTTATGACAGAAATTTATGAATGCAATTGCTTAAAGGGGAAAGACGAAATATGATAGAAATGTTTTGCGAAGTAAGCTGCAAACTTATGCGCACAACTAACGACTATAATAGCTAAGAGAAGTAAATTAATTGAGTTTTCATTGACAATTATAATTAATTGTTTTTGCTAAAACTTTAATCTTTAAAAATATATATATGAAAATGTTTTAAACAATATTAATTCTTGATGTAAAGATATTTAATAAATTTATATATATTATATTTGACAATTTGCAAATTATATTAGGGTGTGCGCCATACACCTTCGCACCTTAGAGCAGTCGTCACTGATGGACAGGCAACATTCTTAGGGCAACTAGCGTCTAAAGGGCTTCCATATATAGTTTGAACCACACTTTCAACTAATTTAATAAGCTGAAAATGAATACTTAATTGTACAATTTCATATATTACGCTTTCGTGCCACAAAGTGTAATATGCCGCTTTAATATACATAAATACCTACAATAGCAACACGACACTTATACTCCTTTCATTTGTAATGTTTTCCTTGACAAGAGTTCTGATATGTACTAATATTTTCCCTATGAAATCCAAATTGCTATAGAGAATAAATAACATTTTTGTTTGAAGCTCCTTTTTTAAAATAAAATTTCCTATCAGGAAAAATGTTAAAAATGTTTCCTAAGTACGTAAAGATCCATAAGGATTTAACTTTTAAATCAATTTTGAAATGATCACATCTTAGGTTCTTGGACGCACTTAATTATATATATAAAAACCATTCCAAACCATTCAGCTTTAATTTGAAATCTAAAATATGTTTTAAAAATACTTCTAAATTAATATTATCCTAAAAAAATAATTTCTAAATAAAATTAAACTACCATTTAATTCGAAATATTTAAAATGAGTAAGATCAAAAATATAAATACATTTACCATTTAACTACCATTTAATTCGAAATAATTAAAATAAAATAATTAAAATAAAAATATAATTATAAGTTACCTTATGTACTAAAATAATTTATTGTATAAAAGATAAAACCTAATAATTAAAGGCTTTATTATAACAGAGTATAGCAATAATAATTAAAAATATAAATATAAAAAAGACGTTATCTAATTTATTACAATATTTTATTTACAATTTATACACTTAATTGTTTCAGATATCAGCACAAGAGAGTCGTCGTAAAAAGAAAGAGTACATGGACCAATTGGAACGCAGGGTTGAGCTACTTGCTAATGAAAATAAAAACTATAAAAAACGCGTTGAGTCACTGGAGTTTTCGAATTCGAATTTATTTAGCCAACTTCAAAAACTTCAAGCATTAGTTAAAAAACAAAAAATAAATACATAAAAAATATATATTTGATATATTCTACATTCAAACTGCATATCTCAATTTCAAAACAAACTAGAATCGATAATGCAAATTCTCTAAGATGATGTTTTAGACACACAAAATGAATTTTTATTTATAGATTGAACTTATTAAATTGATTAACTCAAAAAATTTTTAATTAGCGGTTATGATAATCTGTTTTTGATATACACATTTGTTTTGAAATATCGCATTAAAAATGAAAGCTTATTCCACTATAAGCTTATTGTTATATCTTATATGGTTTATAAAAACCTGAAGCATTTTATAATACCAAGTAAATTATTTGTTGCAATATAAACAACTTAATGTATACAAAATTAAAATAATTTACATTCCTTACATTTTAAGTTTATATATTCGTAGAAGAAAATGAACTGTTTTTATCCGAGCCAATTAAACATAGTTTGCAGTTCATCAAATAATAAATTTAATATACAGATATGAAATTTTATTCACACATAAATATATGTATATATAATTACAATTAATATACATACGAAGAGTTACTAAAAATAATAGCATTAATATTAATATCTTTTTTTTAAGATATATTATTTACAATAAAACTATTATTTATATTATATGTATTATAAGTACTATTCAACAACATCATGGTATGTTTAGCATTAATGTTACTTTAATTTTAATTTTTTATTAATTTTGTAACTAAATTATTGAATGTTCTTAATAATTTAGCCAATTATGTTCCAATTACTCACAGATTTTTATGTTTGCGTATAATGTTAAACAAAATTATAAAGTATATTTTATTCAATTCACAAAAAGAACTTCCAAATGTGTCTTCAAATTGACTTCAATTTTGATATCTAATGTGGCATTATACATTAACACCAGATATGATGAAATGCGCATCTATCTATCATTCCTGCAAAAAAATACAAATAAAAACTTTATTGTTAATAGTTAAAGAAGAAATAAATTGTAGGGTACATATAAAATAATTAAAATTTACGAATGTAAAATTAAACAGAGAAGAAAACATTTTATGTCCCGATCATAGAGACAATATTTTTTTCGTTCGGTCTCGGATCATAGATATTACAACAAAAATAAATATTGTACCATTAAGTCTTCGGATTTATGGAGAGCGTGCTGTTTTTAATTAATTGTCTTAACTTATAGTTTTAATAGGCAGAAAGCATAAATTATAATTAATGCAGCTAAATCAATTTATGTTAATCAAATTAAAAATTTTTCGTTTCCATTGTCATAAGTTGATTTATGCATGTGAAATAGCTTTTATGTGTCGGAAAGTTCTAGGAGAGCTTTTGTTGTGTTCATTTCAATTGATAGCAGATAATAGGTCTGGTTCCACTAGCTACTCGTAGTAACTTTGAGTAACACTGAGAGAACGTAACATCCCTGTCGAAATTTGAAAATGTTACACAGATTTAACTTGTACATTTTATTTCAAATAAAATTTGTGTTGATGTCTGAATCAGCTCTTGTGATTTGTATTTAAATTTTTGAATTGTTTATTTCAGCGGCACTTGTGGACTTTACCCAAAGTTGTTAATTTGACACTTTATTTGTGTTACGCTCTCAGTTTGTATTTGTGTTTTACTCGAGTTTTACTCTAAGTAGCTGGTGGAACAGACCTAATATTTAGTTCCGTAGTGTTAACAGAAATTTATTCATTGTTCATTGGAAACACAGAAAATACAAAAAAAGTTGTGTATAATATTTATTTATGAAAAACAAATATTTTCAAATATGTTTGTCTCCTTTTTGTTGCATTCTACATTTTTTTGGGGGTAAATTTAATTTATTCTTAACTAAGTTGGAAAGTACAAAAGGTCTTTGTACGTTTAATCAACGTTTAACGTTTAATCAATTAGGAACGTAAATCACTGTTTTAAGGAAAGCAATGGAAACATACTATAAGTGATTATATATCTGCTATTACAAAGGACTTAAATTATCGTAATATAACCATAATTTGTTGCTTATTTTCGATAGCGACAAAGCTGTTATTTTAAATAGCAAATAAAATAAAATTGAAACATTTATATATTGGGGATATATTATTTAAAGCCGAAATACCTTTAGTTTCTGATTTTACAAGAACATTTTTTTTAACAAAATTATCTACAGTACGAGTTTGTGTCAATGATTCAAAGTATATGAATACTATATGGTTAAATTTTAAAGACAATTAATGTTGGGTATTTTTTAAATGACTATTAAATCGTGGTTAATAATCATTTTCTCGTTACTCAGTGCTTTTACATGTATGTGTTGTATTGCATAAGAAGCGGTACAGTTAAATTGTTTCAACATCCAAAATGTTTAATAACATCCAACTTTTCATACATCATTCAGTTTTTTTTATTTTTTTTTTGTATATTGATCTTATAATTGGATGAAAATGCGAAGTTAACTGAAATTATTCTACCACGAGAACTCTCAGGGGGTAAAAGAATGTTAGACCTTATGGAACGTATTTAAATATAAATTTTATTTCAAGTTGTTGAGATTTAAATGTTTATAACATACATAGCGATGGTAGAGATTCAGTTCTGTACCAATTACAAACAGAATATGGTAAGATAATTTAAATGAAATTCACAACAAATGATATTCCTACTGTTAATATAATACTCTGAACAGGTTATTTTTGAGAGTAACAATACTCTTTTAACCAAAAATATTTTATCAGTAGCATTGTTATAAATTTCGTGGTTCTAATCTTGACTATATATTTTGTTTTGTCTATTTTTGGTGCAATTGTTTGTGTCCTAACCTTAACTATGAAAACAAAATTATTCAAATGTCCTCCTTGTGATATTTTACAGAACTAGATCTTTCCAAAGTTATTTTCAACTATGACAGTATATAGCTTATAATAGCTGGATGGTTGTTTTTAAGGCACATAAACACTATATTTTGCATTTACAACATTACCATAAAGAGTGTAGGAAATTACTTGTACAACAATGTGTTCTGTGGCTTATGGTACTGTCGTGTTAAAACCACAATACAACACAACACGAATCGTTATTTTAAGAAAAGTATAAACATATCATCCTTTTAGATCAAAAAGAATGCAATGCAATTATATGTTATGAATGCAATGATTATTTTATTTCTACTTGTAGATTGTAATGCCCCAGGTTGGATAGGTTAGTTCTTTAAGATTTTTACAAGCAAATAATAAGCCTCATCACTGAGAAAAACTCTCTGTAGTAAGTTTTTAGAATTTAACCGCTATTAGGCGATTAATACTGGAAAATATTAAACTTTAAATGATAGCTTAGACAGTAGTTTTATTTGACAAAAGTCACTAAAACAGAGTTTCTAAATTAGAACAACGGTATGGATACCGCATTATATAATGGAGTGTCGCATTCACTCAATATACTGTTTTAATTACTTTTTTCTACTTCTTTTAATTTGTAACAAAATCAAAAATATAATTATAAAATTATGTATTTTTAATAGTCATAATTTAATTACACAATAATTTATGTAAGAACTATGTAAGAATTACAAAAATTAAGAATTTATTTAAATTTATTACATTTAAAAATATTGCAATAATGAATTCAGTGCAATGTACATTAATAATAATTGTTATGACTATGATCTTTGTAAAATATTTTCCAAAAGTATGTGTAATAAACTTAAGGTAACTAATGGCTAATGTTTCACTATTTTTAAACAGAGAATTAGTACTAAATTAATGTTAAATTTCTCCGCCAGCCACTGTAGAAACGATTTTCAAGACTTTGAATTTGCTTCATCTGTAGTTCTGGACAAAGACATAAATAGTGATTGTGTGATATTTTCATCTTCATCGTGCTAATTTTTGCATAGTTATTCTGCGATCATACATTATCTTTAAAGCATTGGTGTAATGGCACAATATCCCGTTAGTACTACAGTAAATACACGAATATCAAGGTTGATGAAGTTCAAAAAGATTATGATTTTATTCTTGTTTAGTCTAAACCATACAACCTAAACGTTCTCATAGTGTCACAATTAATCGATCAATCATTTGCCAACACTGTACTGAATTTTTCTATGCACTTAAACCGTTCACTCCTCAAGGTTTGTACGTCTTCTGACGATCTCTTCTGCTACCTCATTCCTTCGATATTGCTATGCTCAGAAATCAATTAAAGGAAGATTTTTTCACATTTGATTTTCATCAGTAAAACACGATATTTTACCATAATTTTCAATGATGGTTCGCTAGCTTTTATTGCTATCTGACTGACCTAAAATTCACTGTAAAAATCAATGAGTCGATAATATGCCCTCCTTATCCACATAGCTCTGCAGCAAATACACGCCTCAATTGCACTCTCCATTCTTAAACCATCTTTGCAGATGGTGACTTTAGAGGAAACTATGGAGAACCCTACATTCCAGCTTTCACTAATTGAGTAAGAGTAGGAGTTCTATTAAAATTAAGTATTGGTGACTAATATTCTGTAGCTGATATAAGTTGATATAAATTGTGACCGGACTACGTCCACTATTTTTAATTGCAATAAAAACTTTATTGTTTTCTGCAAAATAAACACTCGTAGTGTCAAAAGACTTTAAGCATCACAGCCTTTAACAAATGATCGTTGCAAAATAAAATTAAAGATTATCTGCTGGCTTCCAAAATTATGCTCCGGAAATACTCTAACAACCTACTGCATTTTCCCAATGCGGGATTGATTGCGTTCGTGTTTACGTTGTTAAATATTTTTTCGATATTAAGAAAACGTAAGAAGTAGCTTTTTTTAAGTACACTGATTTCTGAATTGTGTTAACAACTTCATGAAATGCACTTTTCACCGACAAACTTTTACAGGAGGTATGTTGCATGCTATCCATTATGTGAATGCTGGCTTTCTTTCTGATCTAGAAAGGTAGGAAAAGGAAGGAAGTATATGTCTATCCAGTACCCCCCTTTCATTTGAAAGGAATTAATTGTCCAGGCAATCCTATCTCTACCATTAATATTTACAATAAGATTAAAATAACAATATTCCGAAACGTCAGCTTATTGCAATTATTACAAAAAGTAGGGTCAGTAGAAAAAATAAAATCTAAACTTTATCGAAAGCCGAAAGCA